TTCGTTTTAACTTTTAATAACTTTTTATTGTTGTGGGTAAAATGGAATGAAGTGATTGTATAATGGGCAGACAATTTATATACTTTTGCCGTGTTAGTAATTATTATAAACAACGAAATGAAGATATTATTATAGTAAATAAGTTTTAGAGTTAAATAATGGGCTGATTATAACCGATTGAAACCTACAAAAGGGCCAAATTTTTTTTTTTTTTTTTTTTGATCCGTTTGTATTTAAAAATTTGGGTGGGTCTATGGAGGGCAATGGATTGTATCCAAAGGATTTAGGGTTCAAACCTCGAAGGACCAGAAAATGTTGACGCAGGTGAGCGTCACCTTAAACGTGAGCTGATGAGCTGAAAGGGAGCATATGAACTCTGCGGAGAATGAGCGGACACGAAAGGGTAGGTAGGAAAACGGGACTTACTTGGAGCTGATGCTGGCACTATCACGGTCGTAGTGGTGTTCCTCTGCGATGGGTGGCACATACACCTTTTCACCGGTTCACACTCAACCTTTTACTTAGTATCGAAAGGCGCGCGCGCACAATTTACTCAATATCGAACGAGCGTATCTCCGCGTGCCGTCATGTACCGCACTGTTATGAGAGGTGCGGGGTGCGTACGGGCGACGGCACCCGAGTTGAGCCGAACATTTATAAACGTCGGGCTGTCGCGCGAACAGTGACTATTACGACTATTAAGTACTAACTATGTAAGAAAAAATACTTTTTTAGTAAATTATTAACAATTTGAGTTGCAAGCAGAGAATTACCAAGCGGCACATTTGTACATATAAAAGAAATGCACAATTGCGCTGTCTGCGATTTTTTGACATTGTTTTTTCATACTGTCTAGGTTAAAAGCATTAATATTGCATATTTTAAGCAAAAATAGTTTGAAAAATGGTTGGTTATAAACATGTATGATTGGGACGTCGCTACATATTTCAAGTGCTTTTTTTTTACTGGGATCCTTGCTGCAACATGGGGTGTTTTTTTTTTTGAAAAATGTTAAGTGTTTCTGCCAGCATGCATTATGAAAAACAATACTAACTTTGGTCCATTGCTTATATGTTTTTATTGTGCCACCTATACTATTGAGACGCAAGGATAATTCCTCCCACTGGCGTCGTACTTGATTTCTACCATGTTGAGATTTTATGAAACCTTTGGCCATGGTAGGGTTTTGCTCCAAATAGTCTATTAAAGCCTCAATTTGCGCCAGCGACGGATGAGAAGAACGTTCGTTAATACTATAGGTAACACATTTAAATGTTACATTAAAAAACAAATGAATTCAAAGTCTTCGTGGTCTAAAGGATAAGACGTCCAGTGCATTCGTGTCTAGCAATGCACCGGTGTTTTATCCCGCAGGCAGATACCAATTTTTCTAATGAAATTTGGACGGCTACTACTTTAGACCAGGCTAAAGCCTTTGAAAAAGGTAAAAAGTGAAAAAAATTATAGTAGGATGAAACCCGCTAAAAAAGGACGAGAATATAACAAAAATTAAAGGAAAAATAATTTACCATCACCGTCTTCGTTTCAAAAATTATCAACCCTGGTCTACTTAACAAATGTTCACAATTGACTTCCACGGTGAAGGAATAACATCGTGTAATAAAAATGAAACCCGCAAAATTATAATTTGCGTAATTACTGGTGGTAGGACCTCTTGTGACTCCGCACGGGTAGGTACCACCGCCCCGCCTATTTCTGCCGTGAAGCAGTAATGCGTTTCGGTTTGAAGGGTGGGGCAGCCGTTGTAACTATACTGAGACCTTATAACTTATATATCAAGGTGTGTGGCGCGTTTACATTGTAGATGTCTATGGGCTGCAGTAATCACTTAACACCAGGTGGGCTGTGAGCTCGTCCACAGATCTAAGCAATAAAAAAAAAGAAAAAAGAATGAAACATGAAACACAAACTAAAAAAATTAACTTTTACTTACCTCATGATCTTTTTTGAAATTAAATTCACTCACAATGTAACACCAAAACTGCTAAAAGCAAAATGAATACTTTTGACCACTTGAGATTGTTTTGAAAACAAAAAAGTTTGACTTAGCATTTTGTTTTTTAATTCCGCTAATACGGGCAAAGGAACTTTGTGTACAGCCAAGAATTACAATTAATTTCATAAATATATGTTTTTAATTTACTTTTTAGATATATTAGATATAGTTTAGACACTAAAAGCTTAAATTCAACGTATTTTCTTACAGAATGCTTCTAAATACAAAGAAAAACTGAAACGGCCCCCTGATCACGTAAAAATTTGCGACAGCCACAATTTTGCAGATGTTGTGCAGACGCGTCGCGACCGATCGTAAAACGTCAAATTATTTCGTATCACGTACCGCGATTGTTCGCTTACCGCTTACTGCAGTTTTCTGTCATACAACTAGCGCCAGTCGCAATCGGGTAGCAATAATTGGCACTAAAAAGCCACATTACTTTTTTTTTTTGCTGAACAAACCGGCAAATGAATTTATAAAAGCGCGTTACATATAAACATTTCAAAATGTTTAAGTGGAATTCACGTTTGAAACGCCAAGTGAGAGCTGCTAATTCTGTTCTTTTCGATGAAGCGTTACTAAAAATAAGTGATCTAATAATAATTTTTGCTTTATTTTGAATAATAGCTATAAAAATGTAATTGTGTCATG